TTGAACAATTACTATACATGACTTCAATTCTAGAAGATCACCTATGAATCCTCAATTTCACCTTTCATGGCATAAACCCACATAATATCAACTTCATCAATTAGACTAGGGCTAACCATGGAAAACATATAAATTCATCATAATATCATAATTCAATGCTAAATCAATCATAAACAAGTATTATCCACTCAATTGGAATCATACTCAACACTACCCACAATATAGGGAGAAACCCTAGCTTGAATTGGGGGTTTGTCTTCACAATTGGGGGAAATCTAGGGGTTCTATGGATGGAAGAATCCATAGATGAATAAGCTAACATACATTGATTACATAGCCCTCATAATGCTTGCAAGAAAAATGGAGGAATTTGACCTAGCTTAGATTTTTCTTCTTCTTGGAGTGTTTTAGAGAGAGGATTTTTTAGATGAAGAACTTTGGAATCTTTTGGGGTTTATTAATTAATGACTTAGTTAGGGTGGTTAATGATTTAAAATAGTTTATATAGGTGTATAAAGTCCATATAAAACGACCCCCACTTAAAACTAACTAAAAAGGAATTTACTAAAAAGTCCTCACTAGGCAACCCACTCCCAGACACCACAACAGGGCTCACGAGCCGTGGTTAATACCACAAGTCGTGGTCCTGCCCGTGGTCTTTGGGCAGTGTCTATGGCTTGGTGTCTTGGCCTCCACAATGCTAAGGCATGACCACGAGCCTTCCCACGAACCGTGGTCAAGACCAATGGCCGTGAAGTGACTCGTGGTCCCTGGTCCAGTGGCTTGGCCCCAAGGACTTGCCTACCACAAGGCTAAGGCACACTCACAAGGCCTCCCACGAGTCGTGGTCAAGACCACTGGCCGTGGTGGTGGCCGTGAAGTTGGGGCAGTGCTTGCCAAGGTTGGGGTAGCCCTACCCTTTGGCTTGGGCCTTGCCCCTTTGCCTTGGCATTTGCCTTTTAGCCTTGACTCTTGTAGCCCTCAACTAAACCCTAGATGGTCTACTAAGCTTACAGGAAGTCATTTTACGATTCTAACCTTTGCTTCAAATTCTAAAACCTTCACGTTAAGCTCTAGTTTAGTCTACAAATTTCTGAAATGTTACAATGTGTTAGTGCCCAATCATTGCAAGTAAACAACATCAAGATAATAGTCTTAAAATTATTTTTTAATTTAATCAAAACATGGGCAAATATCGACAACTTAGGCATATAAAGACACCTAAGATCACCACCCCACACTTAAACCTTTGTTTGTCCTCAAACAATCTTTAGACTATCAACTCTTTTTCATATCCCTTGGACTTATCAACCCACTTAAAATCAACCAAACATAGTTAATCATGATCTTGTAATTCACAATGGATACAACATTCCAAAACTTTTACACAAAGTTACAACACATATGCTTTAAGAATGACTCCTTTATTATTTTTCCGGGCTAATGCAAACTCATACAAACACACCAATTAGATAATACAAACATGTGCCATGAATGCCCTCGCCTATTTACGTTTAGTATAGCCTTTCACTCAAGCAATCATATTATAAACAAGGCCTATTTTTCAAAACTTTGTACTCACTCTCACAAATGAAGTTCTTACTTCTCTCAACATGACATAAGCTTGCCCATATAGTATATTTTCACTTTCACATTATATTTCTCAAGGAATAAAGAGGACTTCTATTTGGTTGTAATGTCGACTTAAGGTAAGGGAAGGAATATTTAGGACTCCTTTTAGTGACTACAGCTCCCTAATGTACATGTCATTGCTTTGCCAACAAACATTCTACTTAGCTTTTTCTTTCTTTCTTCTTAGTGCACACTTCATGAATATTTTTCCCCTTTTTGTTGCTCCATCTTTACCCTTTATTCTCTCTTTTTTTGTATATGCCTTTGCACTAGCAACCCTCAACTCAAGACTTTAAGATCCTAGTGAGATACACAATATCCTTGGTAGGTTCAGGGTCAATGTTTAGAGCATATTTCTGAAATAGCCACCCTCAATTAAGTTGAGGTGCACATTGTCACTAAGGATCAGGGCCAAAACAGAGTTTTACTTATTCTTTTATTTTCCACACAATTTAGCATATCCACCCTTTCTCACATCAACCAACTTTTTCAATCTTTCTTCTTAACATAGTGCATTAAGGATTACATTGGGATCAAAGACTTTGGTATCAATCAAAAGGGTTTCGGATTATCATGTGGCTTATCAAACAAACAAGGCTAAAGGCTCAATGGGGCTTTACTAGGGGTAACTTCATTAGTAGACATACAATTAGAGTCAAGAATTGGCTTTTTCAAAGAAACACCTCAATCATATTCCCTAAGTCATATACACTACTCATTCAACACACATCAGGCAAGTTCTAGATATCAAGTGAAGCAACATTCAACAATAACTCACCACACACATGGCATCACAACACACATAAGGACAAATTTACTAGCCTGCTCATCAACTTGCATTACGGTACTACTACACAATTAAGCCCATTTGGATTCATTCAGAGTCACAACAAAGAACACATGTTTGTTTCAAAGTTATCATTCTTTTTGAATTTTCCAATATTGACTACCCATGACGTCTGGCTAACTTTTTCGGACATAGTTTCAAAATATCAAGGTTGGTTTTTCTATTCTACTCTCCTACAGGACTAATTTTCCCTTAAGACGGTCGTCATCCATCCATCATCGGGAACCGTCACCCCTATGACGACTCTACGACTCAATAAAACAGTAAAACTAATCCTAGTCAGTTCAAAGGGACTATCCTCAGTAAAAGTACCGAAAACAAACGCTGAGGAACCCAAAAAAATAATTTAATCCTAAAAAAAATTAAGACTCGATAAAGCAATAAAAACTTATATACAAAAGAGATATATCTCCCACCCCACAATTAAAGATTAGCATTGTCCTCAGTGCACAAATAAAACAAAGTATAGAGATAGGAATACTCCCTCAAGCCTCTAGGCCTCATCATCGTCAGCACGACCATCATCAAACACCATTAAGGCGTTAGCATCATCATTCACACCATCATGCTCATCATCATCATCTGTTGCCTCATCATCATCCAGAGATTCCTAAAAAGCTGGCCCAGTCCTGCAAAGAAAGGTTGCACTGTCTGTCAACGGGTAGCGATCTGCCAAGGTCTCCATCTCCTCATCCGTGACAGGGCGCCCCCCAATCCTAAGATGCAGCTCTACCATTCCGAACATACGAGCATCACGCTGTCATCACATGTCTGTCGCTCCTGGGCTAATAAGATAGGTCCATGGAACGTGTCTAATGCCTTGGTCCGAGTCACATCTACTATTTTGCCAACCAAGGCATGGTGCCTGGCAACAGTCACGTCTAACTCCTCTTCCTCGATTCCCTCAGCCCTCAGTAATCGGGTAATCATCCCCCCATAACAAAATCACCATCTCATATTGTTCCGAAACTTCATCATATTCTGCCTTAAAACAGCCCCAACATTAATGGGCATCCCCTTCATCAACATGTACACCAACACCACCCAATCCCTTGTCATATCGGTAAGGTGCTTTGCTGGTAAAAAGACATTGCATACAATTTTCAACCACACTCTCGCAACCTGATTAAAATTAGCATAATGGAGGGAAGAATGCCTCCAGTGTCTTTACGCCCACCTAGCAATAGACTTTACCCCACATAATGTATGATGTATATCTCTATAAGAGGGGTTTTCCTTCAGCCTATTAAAGTCCTCATCCTCACAATTTGGAGTGCCCAACAACAAATTTAGCACTTTAGTAGTAAATCTCACATCATTACCCCGAATTGGCACAGTCTTATTGTAACGGTTTCAGTGAGCCAATTTGCATAAAATTTTCGCACTAGAGTCAAGTTACAATCATCCAGGTTTTCAAATATAAATCTTAGCCCAAGAGCATTGATAGTATTATAGATAACCGAAAATTGGGATTGCAACCTTACCTCATTGACGTACTCATCTCCAAGGTATTTTGCCTCTTTTGGCACTCAAACCATTCGTGCCCATATCTCTCTACAACCTTCTTTTCGAACTTTTGAAACGGCTCCCCACTACTTGAAGACCCGGATGCTTCCCCCTTTCTATTCCTCTTAAAACCTACTCCGTTTGCAACATACCTCGCCTTTGGTGCCATTTGTACCTACGTAGAAGAAGAAATAATGGAGAATGGAAAAAAAATAGAAAAAAGAGGGTGGGGGTCGGGTTGGGCAGTGGGGTGGGAGAAGAAGAAAGAAGAAAAAAGAAAAAAAATTAAAGAGAGAACTAGTGGGGAAGTTGGAGTTTCAATGGTGGGTTAAGGGAGAATGGGTGGTGAACTAGAATTGTGAAAGTGTGAGTATTTATAGGGGAAAGTAAAGAAGAAAGGTTAGTTCGGGGGAAAGTAAGGGTGTAGCGGTAAGTTAATGGGTGATGAATGTGGAGTGGAGGATTTAATGGAAGAATCGTGGAAGAAGAAGAGTTGAGAGAATATAGGGGTTGGGGAGGTAGGAATGTAGAGAGAGTGGAGAATGTGATTTTGGTTTTAGGGATTTAGGGTGGGTTTAATGGTTGGCCGGGTAGGATAGGTGTGGGTCGGGTAAAAACCCAAATTTCTAGGCACTGGGGCGAAAGGGGTGCGACGCACTATCATCGCACCGTGGGAGGCGCTCTGAAGTTTGTACGTTGGCGCGGCGCGCTTGCCAAAGCACCAGAAAACTGGCTCTGAATTTCGCACTGTGTCGCAGCGCGCCAACTAGTACGCCACCTCTACTTTTCTTTTCTTTTTCGTTTTTCACTATTACAAACTAAGTTACAAATAATGAAAAATAATGTCTAGCTAGAACTAACAAATAAAAATACTACCTAGATTCTAAGAATTTAAACTACGCTAAAGACAAAAAAGTAAAAAAATTTAAAACAAACTACCTATCTATTACATTTTAATCACGAGTTGCCTCCCGTGTAGCGCTTGGTTTAATGTCACGGCTCGACTCAGCTTGGATCATTCATCATTCAGCTCAAGAGCCTCCCGATCACGATCTGAATCTTCTCCAAAGTAGTGTTTCACTCTTTGCCCGTTCACCAAGAACGTAGGGCCAGTCTCACCTTTAAGTTCAACAGGCCCATGTTGTGTCATTCGTACCACTTCAAAAGGACTACTCCATTTATACCTTAGTTTTCTGGGGAATAACCTTAATCTAGAGTTAAAGAGTAGTACATTTTCTCCCAGAGTGAAAGTGCGAGGAACTATGTGCTTGTCCATGCCACCTTTTGTCTTTTCTTTGTAGAGCTTGGCATTCTCATACGCATGGAGCCTAAACTCCTCAAGTTCATGTAGTTGATTTACTCTTTTCCTACCGGCTAGCTCGGGGTCCAGATTTAACCTTTTTATCGCCCAAAAAGTTAGTGTTCTAATTCCACTGGGAGATGACATGTTTTACCAAACACTATGTGATAGGGAGAAGTCACTATGGGTGTCTTATATGCAGTCCTATACGCCCACAATGCATCATCCAACTTCTCAGACCAATCCTTCCTATGTGCATTCACTATTTTTTGCAAAATTTGCTTCACCTCTCTATTCGAAACTTCCATTTGGCCACTCGTTTGAGGATGGTAAGCTGTAGCAACCTTATGTCGAATACCATACTTAGCAAGAAGATTTTTCACTAGATGGTTAATGAAATGCTTACCTCCATCACTTATGATTTCTCTTGGAGTGCCAAAGCAAGTGAAAATATGTTTCTTTATGAACTTGATCACAACTCTTGAGTCATTCGAAGGAAGAACGATAGCCTCAACCCAATTACTCACATAATCAACAGCCACAAGGATATATTGGTTTCCACTAGATGGTGGGAAGGGACCCATAAAGTCAATATCTCACACATCAAAAAATTTCACCTCCAAAATGTTACTTAGCGGCATCTCATGTCTCCTTGATATAGTACCCAACCTTTGGCATTTATCACATCCCTTCACAAAAGTAATAAAATCCTTAAATAAAGGGGGCCAAAAGAACCCAGATTGTAGTACCTTATGTGTCATGTGCTCTCCTCCATGGTGACCTCCAAATGGGCTAGCATAACAACTTTCGAGCACTTTTTGAACCTTAGACTCTGGAATGCATCTTCTCACCACTCGATCCACTCCTTGCTTGAATAAGAACGGTTCATCCCAGATATAGAACTTAGCATCATGATTGAGCTTTTTATTTTGTTGGGTGGTTGCACTCGGGGGGTAATCTCCACTTACTATCAAATTCACAATGTCAACATACCAAGGCACTTGAGATATATCTAGTGCCATCAATTGTTCATACAGAGACTCTTCCCGAATTTTTTCCCCTTCATGTACATGTGAAAAATCCTCCAACCTAGACAAATGATCAACTATTTGATTCTCAGTACCTTTTCTATCCTTAATCTCAAGGTCAAATTCTTGGAGAAGAAATATCCATTGAATTAGCCTTGGTTTAGCATCATTCTTGTTGAATAGGTACCTAATAGATGCATGGTCAGTAAAAACAATCACCTTAGTACCTACCAAATACAATCTGAACTTATCGAAGGCGAACACTAGAGCTAGCATCTCCTTCTCAGTCACTGTGTAATTAGCTTGTGCAAAATCCAGGGTCTTGCTAGCATAATAGATCGAGTGGAACACTTATATTTTCTGTGTCCCAACAACGCACCCACTGATACGTCGCTTGCATCCTAAATGAGTTCAAACGGTAATTCCCAATTAGGAGCAATTAAGATGGGAGCTTCAATTAAGTTTCTCTTCAACATCTCAAAAGCCTTCAAGCACATCTCATCAAAATCAAATTTCACCTCCTTTTCCAAAAGACTGCACATAGGTCTTGCAATCTTGGAAAAATCCTTGATGAATCTCCAGTAAAAACCTGTTTGACCAAGGAAACTTCGCACTTTTTTTACAGAAATGGGAGAGGATAATTTCTCAATAACTTCTACCTTGGCTTTATCAACCTCTAATCTCGACTTCGACACCTTATGACCCAACACTATCACCTCTCTAACAAAAAAATGGCATTTTTCCCAATTTAGCACTAAGTTAGTGTCCTCACACCTAACAAGTACTTTATCAAGATTTCGGAGACATACCTCAAAAGACTTCCCAAAGACACAGAAATCATCCATGAACACCTCTACAAAGTCTTCCACCATATGATGAAAAATGGCCATCATACACCTTTGAAAAGACATTGGTACATTGCAAAGTCCGAATGGCATGTGTTTGAAAGAATAGGTACCATAAGGACAAGTGAACGTGGTCTTTTCCTGATCCTCAAGTGCAACTAAAATCTGGTTATATCCAGAATACCCATCTAAGAAACAATAGTATTCATGCCTTGTTAGTCGGTCAAGCATCTGATCAATGAAGGGAACCGGGTAGTGATCTTTTCGGGTGGCATTATTCAGCTTCCGATAATCCATACAAATCCTCCATCCGGTCACTATCCTAGTAGGAATCAACTCATTTTAATCGTTCCTTACCACTGTCATACCTCCCTTCTTAAGAACACACTACACAGGACTTACCCACTTACTATCAGAAATAGGGTACACAATTCCAGCATCTAACCACTTTATCACTTCCTTTCTCATTACCTCTTTCATCAAAGGATTTAGCCTACGTTGATGTTGTGCACTTGGTTTGTGATCCTCTTCCATGTAGATTATGTGCATACATAACGCCGGACTAATCCCATGAATATCAGTCATCTGTCATCCAATAACTTTCTTTCTCCGCTTTAGGACCATCAATGCCACATTAACCTGTATTTCAGACAACTCTGCAGAAAGTATAACAGGTAAAGTTTCGTTAGTACCCAAATTACCTTAGGTAAGCAGGCAGAGTTTTCAGTTCCAACTTAGGAGCTTATTCGATTGAGGGTTTGGGTGGAGGCCCTAACTCACGCTCTAATGTCTCTACTCTACGCTTATCTATCTCCATGACTGCTAGATTCAAACAAGTCTCTATCTCTTGAGCCTCAATATCTCCATCTACATCATGCCCCACTAACACTCTTTCTAAGGGATCTTCACGCACAATTAGTTGTGATTCTATAGAGTGATCTACAACCGTAACAGCAGACAACTCCTCATAGATGGATGGCAATTTCAAAGCGCGATAAACATCAAACACTTCAATCTTATCATGTGCCCTGATAGTTAACTGCCCAGTTGCTACATCAATTAATGCCCATCCAATACCTAAGAACGGACGTCCCAAAATGAATGGAACTTCAGAATCAGGTTCAAAGTCTAAAACTACAAAATCCACCAAAAAAATCAAGGAACCTACTTGTACTAACACATCCTCTACTACCTCCTCTGGCCTAACAACGGACCTATCAACGAGTTGGAGAATGACAGTGGTTTGCTTTGGACTACCTAACCCAAGCTTTTTATACAATGATAAGGGAATAAGATTAATACTAGTACCCAAATCACACAACCCCCGGGCATGAACACTTTGCCCAATTGTAACCGGCACAGTAAAACTACCCGGATCTTTTAACTTCTTGGGTAATCTATTTTGAATTATAGAGTTGCACTCCTCAGTAAGTGCTACAGTTTTGTACTCCATGAGCCTCCCTCTTGTAAGCCACTATCTCTTTCACGTACTTAGCATACTTCGAGATACCCTGCAAAATGTCAACCAAAGGCAGGTTAATGTGAACCTATTTAAGGAGAGAGAGAAACTTACCGAAGCATTCGTCTTCATTCTTCTTTCTAAGACTTTGTGGAAATAGAGGGGGTAGTTTCTTTTGAGGAACGGATGTCTCAACATTGGAGTTCTTTACTACCTTTTTCCACTTTCTTTTCTTTATTAACTGCCTCCACATCTTTCTTCTTTAGAGCTAGTTCCTCTAGTTGTAACCCATTTCTAGTACTTACCGTATTCAGTTGCTTTGGGTTGGGTTCAGTATCACCGGGCAGTCCACCTTGGGGACACAAATTTAGAGAATTGGCTACTTGCGCAACTTGTTTCTCTAAACTCATTTGGGACATTTGGATGTTTCTGATGTTCTCATCCTGCTTATCTATCCTAACATTTATTTGTCCCTAGTTCAACCATGAGCTTTTGGGGTAACTCCTCATTAGTCATCCCTCCCTTTGGTGCACTTGGATTTATGTCTTGGTTAGGATTTTGGTATTGCTGCCTACCCCCTTTTGAACGGTATTGGTTAGCCCCTTGCGCTTGGTTTTGGTTTTGGTTTTGGTTTTGGTTTTGGTTTTGGTTTTGGTTCCCACCACATGAGAAGTTAGGATGGTTCCTCCAACTAGAGTTGTAGGTATTACCATAGTTTTGCTGACCTCCACCTCTTTGTGTATTACCCACATAGTTTACGTTATCCGGGTATGTCTCACATAGTTCGATTTCATGAGCTCCACTACCACATACTCCACACCAATTAGCTGCATGTTGTACCATATTAAATAATGCGTGATTTAGGGATATTTGTTTGAAATTCATTGTCATATTATGTTGCATCGCATCCAGTTTGGCATTTATGGCGATAGCTTGATCTACATCTAAGATTCTTGCAACCCTTTGGGTTGTGGTTCTAGGCATTTCCCCTTCATACATCGGGTTCCCTTCTGAGAGTCTATCTAGTAAGTCGAATAACTCTTCATGCGTTTTTGCTAGGGCTTGTCCACCTGCTGCACTATTAAGAAGTACACGTGCATTAATCTAAACCCTCAAAGAACGTGTGAGCAAGTACCTCATTAGCTTGGTGATGGTGCGGGCAAGCATTCAACATTTGTTTGAAACGGGCCCATGCTTGGTACATATCCTCCCCATGTTTTTGCTTAAAACATAATATCTCACTCTTCAACCGTGCGGTTTTTTCGGATGGAAAGAATCTACTCAAGAACTTTTTTGCTAGATAATCCCATGTAGTAATGGAGCTTGGTGGCTCAGCATCCTGGCGGTTCCTAACAACGAGTGTGGGAACAACGTCAGCCTCACATAGTCCGATGAGACTCCAATTGGGATGTATGTGTCACTAATCTCTAAAAAGTTCCTAACGTGGATTTGAGGATCCTCATGGGGGAGACCGATAAATTGTCCTATCGAGTGGATGAGTTGTACCATGTTTTGTTTTAGTTCAAACCTACCCCCCCGGTGGTGGTTTCCTTATACTAGACGCCACATTAGTTGTGAGTGGGACTGCCACATCACAGACTGGTCTTGCCGATATGATAGGGGGTACTAACTCTGGGTTTTGGCTGTTCACGTTTTCTTTATTGTTACCCTCATTGTCTTCCTGAAGACCCAACCCCAATTCTCATTAACGTCCTAGATTAGCCATTTTCCTGCATCGGCGTAAAGCTCTTTCAGGTTTGTTGTCTGGTTCGACAACTTCTCCTTTCCGAGCTAGACTTGAAAGTCGAGTGCATACATTAAAAAGCTACGATCAAGTTATTAGTACCTGAATATTCTAATTGTAGACTTAAGAAAATCGAATATAAATCAATTTTTAAGTCCTCGACAGCGACGCCAAAAACTTGTTGCTCCCCAATATACACGCAAATGTATGTGGTCACTCAAGTAATATAGTTTCATAAAGAAACGAGTTATTGTTCCCAAGGGACTTATGATCAACTTATATTTAACACTTCACTCTACAATTAAACAAAAGTAGTTGTTTAAAGAGATAGTGATGATTGTTAACTACTATTCCTAATTATGCAATAAATTAAAAATAACCAATTGTGAACGACTTTAAGATGATGTTTTAAGCAAGTAAAACACAATTCCAAGGCTGCAACATGCAATGGATCTCATGTATCATATTCTTGGCCTAAAACTAATTTCAATTGTCACGTTACTAGTTTACAGGGTTAATTGTATGAGTCGGGTCTCTCGACCTCTAGTCACCTACTCCAGTTAGTTGTCTAACTACATCGTTGAGCGGGCATAGCAGGCTTAACTGGCGAGCATTTATATTTCATCATGTTTCGTAACCAAGCAAGTTGTTCGTCGGGGAGTCACTCCTGAACACACATCAACTCATAATGGATGATCGAGCTTTCTATATTCGCTAGTCTACTACCCTCTCCTCTCTCGATTTAAAGAATAGACAATAGATTTATCTTATGGTGCACAAGCATAAAATATTAAAATATGAATACAGAAGTAACTTATATTGACAACCAAGAATTAATTCAAGAACCTTAAATAATCAACATTCAATCTGTAGCTATAGCCCTAGAACTAGGGCGTTTAGCCACTCATAATATTTGAAAACCACAAAATACAACTGTTCACGCGATTTCCAAAAATAAAAAGAGTTGGAAGATTGAAACCTATTACAAACGATGAAACTTGCTCTCGCACACCAAAATAATCTCCAACCCCCTACAAATTAGCCCTAGGGGTCTATTTATAAGAGTTGGGAAACTTAGAGTCGAATTCTAAACCAACAAGGAATCCTATTTAATGTTGTTTTCGCTGGAAAAGTCGGACAGGAGTTGGGGCTTCGCGCCACCCATCGCCCTACGCGAAGGCTTCTGAAGTTACAAGTCTGGCGCGTCGTGCCTATCAGTGTGCCAGGCCAAGGTCTCTGAAGTTACAGCATTGGTGCGCCGCGCTCGACAGAGCGCCAGGCAATCTTTCCTGAAGTTTCACCAGTGGCGCGTTGTGCCGGCCATTGATTTAAAATTTGAAATATTTTTCAAAAACAATTTTAAAAAAAAATGGCCTAGGTTTGGAGAGGGAGGGAGGTTAGGTGTGGGGTGGCATAAAAATGAAATTTAAAAAAATTTGAAATATTTATCAAAAACAAGTTTTTTTTTTAAAAAAATAATTGACGAGATGGCCTAAGGGGGGAGCATAAAAATGATTTTTTTTTAAATTTAAAATAATTTTAAAAAAAAAATTGATGAATGGCTTGGGTGAAGGATGACGGGGGTGGCGTAAAAAAATTTTAAAAAAAATTGAAATATTTTCCAAAAATATTTTTTTTTTGAAATTTTTTTGACAAGGTGACCTAGGTGGGGGATAGGGGGGATAAGGGGGGAGGTGGCCTAGATGGAGGGTGGTGGGGGTGGTTCAAGTAGGGGTAAAAATATATTTGAAATTTAAAAAAATAAGAAAATTTAATTTAATTTTTTTTATGGGGAGGGTTGGGTACGGCGTACAAGGTACGAGGTAGGCTAAGAAAAAAAAATTGAAGGGTGAAGGAAAAAAATGTTTTCCTTAAATTTGAGGAAAATGAGTTGATTTTCAAAATTTTTAAGTCAACCAAACATGGGAACTTCATACCAAAAACACCCTTAATGTTGCAGGTATTCAGAAAGTATGTACAAGTACAACATTTCCACACTCTTTGAGTAATCTTTCACCTTAGAGATAGTCAACTAGAGATATAAGAGAAAATCTGTTGAGGTGCCTCATCCGCAAGCATCGATAGATCAGAAACCTATTCACAATGGAGTCAAAGAGTGTCATTAAAAGTTTTTAAAAAGCTTGCCAGACAACTACTGCTTCAAAATTAATTGATATTTCATGAGCATTTTGTCATCCTCTTTGTTGTGACATGCAACTAGTTTTGTACAAACATAAATGCTCATCTCTAACCTATTTCAAAGTAAACTGTTCAGATATTATCCAGCCTTTGTATCACAATTCACATCCATGACATTAAACATCATTGACTAATTGTCAATTGTCCCAGGACTAGCAATGAACATTGACTACAAATACAAAGATCATGTGAGCATTGGCAGAACCGTCAACATTTAGAATTCAATACTTGACAGCACTAGCTACTAATAGGAGTCGAAAGTTTGACTCTTTCGAGATTCACATGACATAATAGTACTAGGTTCACTATGTTAAGACTTAAAGAAGTCCCATATCGGAAAAAAAAAAGATGGGAAATTGGTCTCCTAATATAGACTTGGGCAATCCTCCCCTCGTGAGTTAGCTTTTGGGGTTGAGTTAGGCCCAAGATTCATCTTTACATGGAATCAGGAGTCAGGTCCATCCTAATTTTTTGTTCACCGATGTTGGGCCCCCATATTATAGTGTACATGCTCCAGTCAATGAGGATTAGGTGTGTGAGGGAGTGTTAAGAAGTCTCACATTGGAAAAGGGATGGAAAATTGGTCTCCTTATATGGACTTGGACAATCCTCCTCTCATGAGCTAACTCTTAGGGTTGAATTAGGCCCAAGATCCATCTTTAGACACTACATTACATCCCAAAGGACTCCTACAGTTTTCTTTGCATACCATTTGAGCTACCTAAAAGGTGAGAGTAAATCCAGATAAACACTAAAAAAAGGCAGAGTTTTGTCGAAAATGCCAAGGGAAGGAAAGTCATCTACTAATAGGGGAACAATATTAATCTGACAGTTTTATTGCAAGCTTAACAACTCACACCATACTATAATAGAAGTAAGGAAGGCATCAAGAGTTTAATAGTATGAAATGATTAATAATTAAAAGTAATCAACCTGAAGTTTACAGCATTCTCAAGCCTAGAACAGATAATGACATTACTCAAAACCCAAGTGATTTTGCTACCTAAGAGAAGATAATGACTTCAGATTACCTAAGCAGGGGATTATCCAC